GGATCCGCCCCTGTTGTATTAAGACACAAATATCGAATACTTCTCCCGTCACTTCAAGCTATCTGCATATAAAGGTTCAAATTACAATTATCGTATTTATTTAATGGTGAATTGCATAACGAACCATTTTCCTCAATTTGAAGTAAAATGAGGCCGTTTTTCATATCTTAACAACTTTACTTATAACCAAAAACACATTCCATAAACAAATAAAATTATTATGATGGTTATTTATAGTCACTGATGTGCAGTTGATGGAAGTTACAAAATATTTTTCGAAAATGGCGTGATATTATTCCTGAGTAATTTTTGGTAAATGAGCGATTTCGTACCTTTCATGAGACTTCACGGGAAGCAACTCATTTGTTGCCATTTTTGCTCACTCCAGGATTTCTAGTGGCATAGAAATTATCTCATCGTCGTCGCTAGACATTTATATACTGAAATTGAGAAATATCAACAGAAAATGATCATTTTCAAAAATATCACTTGCCTGCTTCCGGTTTCAATTGATAACTTGATTTATTGATGAGAAGATAAGTACTTATCCATGGTGGAAATTACCTAGCTACTGACAATAACTGACATTGACACATCGCCTAAGCAACAAAACAAAGGTATCTATCAATATACCTAGGAAAAACGCGCGATCAGAATAAGCTAGTTTTTGTCGATTTTTTGAGCACCTTGTATTTTTGGGGGACTGAAAATATCCCAGTTAGATTGAAAATGATCGATTTTAGAAGCGTACCAACTTTCAAGTTTTTAATCTAACTGCAAGTGGGAGAACTTCTAATGTGTGGCCTACGTAGATCACCCTGTATGTGTATTAAGAACAAATCATATGAATTGCCTCAACTGTTTTTTTTTTATTTTGTTTTCTCAATTGATCCTCCAAAATATTGCTACTTTCAAAGAAGAAAATTCATTTAGGCCGTTTAGATTGTTAGGGAATAGTTCAGTCTCCTTTTTGATGCTTTTGTCCTTCTTTAGATTCGATATTTCAATGTGCATACGTCAGAAGAGGAAAAAAATGTTCTCCTTGTCCTAACAAACACTGAAATCTGCGACGTCCCGAATTAAAATAAATCATATCGAATTGATTGAATAGACCTATATTAATACATCGTTCGCTGGGGAATGACCCTTTCCTTTTATTTTGACCACTATCTTAAATTATGAAAGTTGTATGGTTTCATCTGTACTATCTTTTGGCAATCCTCAAATAAACAAATGCAAATAATGGCAAAATGAAATAAGGAGTCCAAATCAGTTTTATTCAAATGAAACACCCTGTATATTCTCAACTGTCGTGAAACATCTCTTCTTCTTTTCACAAAAATACATGGTGTTTCAGATTTAATGTACATACGATATCTGCACATAGAGGATACTTTGAAGGTTACAAATCACCTCCCACATTAGGACTACCGTCTTTCATAATTGAGATACAGGACGTCATCTTGATTTTTGCAAAATCTTCATCTGGTTATAATTGTTGAACCATTATGTATAATCTATTGATACTTGAATTATTTCACTTATATTACCTATCAAAACTAAATAAAAATCGATATCACAATCCAGGCTCGTGTTAAGGAGGAACAGAAAACTTCTTTCAATTGAAAAACAACACTCTGTATGACATTTTGTAGATCTATGTTGATATCTAGAAAGAGCTGGAAAAAACGAATCCAATGTGGGAAATCGTTTGTTATTGTTTTTATGAAATATTCGGCTTTATTTTGAGGCATTTTTATTGAACTCGTAATCCAAAATAAAATTCAACACAAAAAATAACAGTCCTCAGAGTTCAACATCATTAGAGTCGAATTAGGTGCTGAACTATATCGATAGATTTGTTCGTCTGAGAGAATAACTTACCAATGATTTTAGAAATTCTCGACAACTCATTTTATTCTTCCAGTGCCATTCCTGAATATCGCATCAGATCAGTGAATTCGGGTTAATTATGTCTTTATTGACTAGTGGTTCATAAAATGACGAAAACTACCTTGGTAGTAAATACACACTTTACGCCTTCCAAAGGAGTAAATGACGGTAGATTCTATAGTGGTGGATAAAAATATCACAGGCATATCAACGTCTCTGGCCAGGGCCTACTCTATCTCACCTAGAGTAGGCCCTGCTCTGGCGCCATTTAAAATTATAAAATTGGATAACGCAAGCGGACTACGAGGGGATTTGCAGACCGCGAAATGCAGAGTCTAGCCATAGCACCACATCGATACAATATTTTCGCGCAGCTATTATAGTATATTGCGTATAAAGACTCATAATTCTTTTTTATACCACTATTGCTATAAATAGAATCTACTATTTTTTTTTCTGTTCTTGGATGTATAATAAATTGATATTCATCATACAGGACGTGGAAAGAAAATCTGAATGGAGAAAGCCTCATCGTTCAAGTTTGAAGTTTGAACCCCTTGATTGTGTGAAAGTATTGGAACTTAATATTCTCAGATAAATTATGAACATGTAAAAATGGATATCCATACATATAATGAAATACATTGAGGATTCGCATTTTCCTTGTGATGGAAATATTTATTTATTTATTAATTTATTTATTTTTTTATTTCTTACACTGTTCAACAGGTTGCCCCATTTACAGAACAGGAAAAGAGGATAAAACAAAAACATAATGGATAGACGAAACAATATGACAAAATGAAAATATCCTGACTAAGTATCTAGTTATTCACTGATGAAGGAGAAAAAAGATAAAAAGTTTTGATATGAGTTATTCCACAGCTGAACAGATCTATATTCCTAGCTACCAAGTTATATGTACTACACATCTTATACAAGGGTGAATTTTTATATATGTTGGTTCGAGGAAACTCTAAGTAGAACGTATCACAATTTCTGGAAGATAATCTCGGGATAATAAAGTTAAATTTTTCCAACAAATCTGCACAGTCAATTAGATTGTTAACAACCTTATAAAGGATCAGGATAGAGAAGTATTGTCTTCTTACGTGCAGGCTCACGAATCGGAAAGTTTTTAGAAGCTCTCCACGAGGTGTACCAATTGGAGGGTATGTACCGCATGACCTGTAACTTAACAGTTTTAAAAACCGTCGTTGCAGACTTTCAAGACGATCAGTATTGTTCCGATAGTATGGGCTCCAAACAACCGATGCATATTCAATCTTCGAACGTATAAAACAGTAGTACAATTTCTTAAGAGTATCTATCTCTTTAAAATCACGACTGTTGCGTACTATGAACCCGTATGCTCGAAATGCAGATTTCAGGATTGAGTCAATATGATCATTAAACGATAAAGATTGATCAAATATTATTAATTCTTTCTCAGCTTATTCAACAGAAAACAACTACTTTCCTGACTATATGCCACGACGAATATTGTATTATATCTATTGAACACACACGATAAGAATTTGAAAACAATTTCTTTTGAAGATAATGATTTGCATTCTCCTTCAGATAAAAATATGTATATGCACATAATGTCATTATGAATATTCAGCAGAAAACAACTACTTTCCTGGCTATTTGCCACGTCGAACATTGAATTATATCTGAACATCCAAATAAAGAGTATGAAATATAAAATCCTCTATAGTTGAGAATCGACACTCTTTCTCAAATCGGATAAAATAATGTATTATGATATAAAAATATAACTTACTGATAATATGTTCAGTATTGAAATGGAAATTGAAATGTATAGGAGAAGTATACTTGTAAAAACTTCGATCTTGATGAGCTTGAAACTAAAAATAATTATTCGTATCAGTGATATGGGAATTATATCTCTATATCTCATAAACAGGTTATACAGTGTGACCCACTTCTAATGGAACCACCCCTGTATCTTACGTAATCGTTGGGTAAGGGTCCTGAAATTTGCTGGAGTGAGAGATATACCAGAAATGCACTCTATGACCAAGTGGGGTCATCTTCAGTGATATACACTGCTCGCCAACAGCCATGAAACCACCCCGATTTCCGGAAAATGATATTAGGAGTCAGAATAGGTTGAAAATCACTTCGGATTCGGAATCAGGACGCCCAATTCTCTAACTATTCATAGTTTCCCTAGAAAATTTCCAGTTCAGAAAAATTAAATTTTGTCTCACTTCTCATGGAAGCACCCCCGTATCTCACGTAATTATTGAGGTAGGGTTCTGAAATTTGCAGGAGGAAGAGAAAGTCCAGAGATAAAGTCAATTACGTGTGATACGGGGGTGCTTCCATAAAAAATGCGACAAAATTCTATTTTTCCGAACTGAAAATTTTACAGAAAAAATTTGAATAGATAGTAAATTGGGCGTCCTGATTCCAAATTTCAGGATCCTAACCAAGCGATTACGTAAGATACATGGGTGGTTCCATTAGAAGTGGGTCACACTGTATGACTTTATTCGAACGAACTCATTTCGGATATCAAACCCTCCTTAGTAACCTGCGAAGTCCAGTTATTCTTCCAGCCATTCTTCATGATATACAAAACTATAACGAACTGACATCTGAGAATTATCTGTTGACATTCAATCCCTGTCATCTGGTTGTTTTTGACAGGGATTGAATGTCAACAAATAATTCGGTCCCTGCGTTTTTTCTTTCAATTGAATATTGTTCTTCCAGGTAACTTTCCGAATTTATTTTCCAACCGAGTTAGGTTAGATTGTTTAGAAAAAGTAGTCTCTTTTGTTCTCTTAAGTAATTTTACCAAACATATATTTCAAATAATTATTCGTAAAATATATTTTTCAGGAAGAAGGTTCATTTAGACCGAATTAGGTTGAATTATTTGAAAAAAGTAGTCTTCTTCTTTATGCATGCAGAAAGCATAGCCAGGCGGAACTATTACCTCGCTGTGGTGCTATAGCTAGACGCTAGTACCGCGAAATTATTGTTTAGCGCTCAACAGGTGGATGGTGGGGAATGAGAACACGAGTGGTTTCCTTCCTTCAAATAATCATAATTATTGGAATTGGAATTGCATTCGTGTTCAGATTCCTCGGTTTTTCATCAAACACGGCGGTGGTCCTTGTGTAGGTGTTAGGTGTCGGTGTGCGATATTTTTTCGAGAACTTATCATGGAAAATTGAAAGGGGTGAGTTCAACTAGGTATTTCATTCGATTTCCCATTCTCATCAAGATTCCACATACTACGGATAGGTATACTATGGCAAATGCAATTTGGTCACGAAATTATTTGCATTATGGGCAGTTATTTTTGGTGTTTCTACAGAAAATCACATAATATTTGTTTGTTCACCACTATGAAACCTACCATTATTTACTCCTTTTCAAGGCGTAAAGTGTGTTTTTACTACCAAGGTAGTTTTGGTAATTTTACTAACCACTTGTCAATAAACACACCTCTGTTATAATCAACCCGAATTCACTGTTCTGATACGAGATTCGCATCAATGGCACTCATTATGCTGTCATGGTCATGGCTACTAGATTTTAATTAGAATTGAAAAGAAGTGCTGCCATAGTGACAATAGTTCATATTCAATTTCCACAGGACTGAAATAATTGGAATTTAGTGTTGAAAAAATTCAATAGACACCTTTTAGTAAAGGATTTTTTTTTTTTTTTAATTGACTCGGCCGTTACTTGATGGAAATCCATGATAAATGTAAAAACTTCACAAACGATAAGATTTCCACAAAATTTATTAAACACACGACATGTTTCGCTAACACAGTAGCTTCGTCAGGTGATATACTGGTACAATGAACTAAACTAACGTTGGCTTGCTTAACTTTTATATATCTTACCTTCCCAAACTGAAGGATTAGTTACCTGTGGACAGGTACGATAAACCTTCATTTTCGGAAATTAGGCACAATATCTACATTAAATTACGGTATACCGGATTAACTTGAAAGAGTTGATATCAAATACATATTATAACTTAAGGAAACAAATTCAACAGTGGTGAACTATCAAGGTCTAATTGATCATTAAGTATAATGTCAAAATTTTTGAGTTTGTTGATTTCTAATGATTCAAAATGATTGAGTTACAGTCCTTTATTTTCAATGTGCAGAATTTCAAAATTATCATCAAAACTATGGTTTTCTTCTAATATATGGTTGGCGTATGTTGAATTTGTTTTCTTTTTCATAAAATTCATCTTATGTTCGTGAAATGTATTTGATATCACCTCTTTCAAGTTAATCCGGTATACCGTAATTTAATGTAGATATTGTGCCTAATTTCCGAAAATGAAGGTTTATCGTACCTGTCCACAGGTAACTAATCCTTCAGTTTGGGAAGGTAAGATATATAAAAGTTAAGCAAGCCAACGTTAGTTTAGTTCATTGTACCAGTATATCACCTGACGAAGCTACTGTGTTAGCGAAACATGTCGTGTGTTTAATAAATTTTGTGGAAATCTTATCGTTTGTGAAGTTTTTACATTTAAGGATATTATTACCACGAAACCTTATAACCCTCGGCTGAAGCCTTGGGATATAATCTTGGTCCCTGGATAATACTAATATTCTTTACTACCTTGGTGTATGAATAATAATTTTCGAGATATGAATTTCATGGACGCGATAAAAACAAAAATACTCTGCATTTATATATATATTTCTGTGTTCATTGATTTGACATGTCTGTATCAATCCGCATGATTATCATACATTCATTAATCCATTTATAAAACAAATAACTTTTGAATAAAGTCGTACAACACTTTGCCCCAACTCGTTCGTCTATAATAGGACGGCAAAGCTATTGAATTCTTTGCCTATGGAAATATTCCCAGAAATATAATAATATAACATCCAAGAGTTTAAAAAAAGTCCAACACCTACCTCCTTTCGCTTATCCTTCTTAGGTGAGTACACGATGTTCTTTGAACATCAAAAGAATTTCAAAAAATAATGAGATCTGGTAAACATTTTATCATTCAAAATACATCAACAACATCAAATTGAATATGATATCGAAAAAATTGTCCATTAAATACCTTATGAAACTTGTCAATTGCAATATTCTTTTACTCGAGCCCTATAAGATATATCGAATTATTTTCAATTTCACTCACATGTATACCAGAAGCGTAAGATCATGGGTTTTTTGTTTTCTCAGTCGATACAAACCTCGACTATGATGGCGAAATTTTGATATTGTATATCGACTTCAATGTCAAAACCAAAATTTTTGACATTCATGTAAAAAATTTCAACTTTTTCTGGAAATTTCGAATTTTATCTAAAAATGTAGACTTCTTTCTCTCGAAATTTTGACATTGTTCAAAATGTTGACATTGTTTCTTCATATTTTAATTTTTTTATTATTATCTGGAAAACCCTTACTCCGAGTTTCTCAAAATATGGTGGGTTTGTTCGTCATATATACATAATTAGGTATTACTCAGTTAGTCTGTAGTAATTTTCATAAAGTAAACACCTTGCGTGATTGAAAATCTGTTTATTTCACAGGAGATACCTACATACTTCACAATATGTTTATTGTTGTCCTGTTACCACTGTTACATACCTAATAATCATTGATCTTAACTAATTACCTAATATTCCTTCGCATGTGCGCTGGCCTAACTAATCCAATATGAATCCAATTGATAATATTATGAATTTTAACTAAAACCCAATAACTATATGATAATAACCTTGACCATGAGGTGTATTGATATGAAATTGATGATTCTGAACGATCCACTTTCGTATTGTTTGATGTTTTAATTTGTTAAATATTCAATTCCTCTACCACTATAATAACATGAATGATAATGTTGGTGTAATTATAGATTTGATGCCTTGTTCTCGTTTCTCGTAAGGAAATGCAGTGGAAATACTTATGGAAAATCAAAGTTTCTATGCTTCTGCTGTAAAACTTTTAGATCGTTCGAGATCGGACTTTGAAAGTTGGTGGGTAGAAGTCAGTGCCGGATTAACCACAGGGCACGAGGGGCAACTGCCCAGGGGCGAATTCAGAATTGGGGGTGAAAATTGTGCCTATAAGTACCTATGATAAGCAAAAGACAAGATAATGTGTCAGTGATCAAGAATTGTACCTATTCCTTTGACGATTTTATTGATTATAAAAAAATACTCGGAAAAATATAAAATATAAATAAGATTGATGTATTCTGCATTTATATATCCATATTTGTGTGTATATTTCCATGATTCCATTTCGTTTACTACTTTCTTTCTGAACAGCCTGTGAATGTATAATCCAAGATTATTCCTGATATTGTTGTTGACTTATTTTATATTCTTTAACACAGTAATCAATAATAATCATGTTTAGTAACTGAATTCTGAGATATACAGGTTTCGATCGATATACCAGTCATCAGAGCCAAGCGAATCATCTGATTTGACTTGATTAACGTTGTATTATTCATTTAAAGAGTTCAAGGCCGGAAAGGGAGCCCAGTAATATTTCTCATTCGTTGTATATTTTTCATTTTTGCCAGTATCGAGTTTCCAGAAGTGATATCTCTTGCTTGGGATACCCCAATATTACACTGCGTTTGATTATTATCCTATTAGAGCGCCTAGGAGAAAAATTCAATCGATCGTCAGTGTCACCTTGTTCAAAAAAATCTTGGAAATTGAGAAATATGGATAGGTATATCGTGAAAATATCAATTTTTTTCTTATATTTTGACGTTTCGGTAACGAATCTGATCCCGTTTTCCTCATAAAAAATATTCTCTTCGAATTTGAGGAACATGGTAAATTCAAGATGAATTAATCAAAACATTATGTCACTGATAAGTGTCTATATTGAAATAAGAAGACAATTGAAGGAGGATAATATTTTCCTTTTTTCTTCATTTTTGTAATGTGTAGGGGGTGAAATAATATATTGTGTGTGATCAGTGGATCGTTTTACACACACTAGAACCTTTTTTCATCAAAATGTCGAAATATATAGGGTGTCCTGTTTAAAAATTTAAAGTTGTGCTTCATGTTGAACCCAAGGGTGAACAAGAGGAGATATAATAATTTGGTATAGTTATAGGTACTTACTACGTTGCTACCAAATTCCATAATCCGAACTCGAATGATTCAGAAGTTGCAGCACATTAATAATCTTGTTTTGATAGTGGTAATTGAGCGAAATTGATATCTGAATTGAGATTAAGATTATTAATAGTCTAGAAATAGGGAAGTACAGTTGTATATTTAAAATAACCGTACGAGTATATTAGAGGGAGAGAAATTATTTGCGTAAAACGGGATATAGGGAATGATTTACACGACAGGTTATAAAACCTATTATTATTTACTCCTTTTCGAGGCGTACAGTGTGATTTTATTACCAGGGTAGTTTTCGTCATTATATGAACCACTAGTCAAAAAGGCCTCGATAAAGACATAGCCACCTCTGCTATAATTAACCCGAATTCACTGTTCTGATGCGAGATTCATAGACATGGCAATCGAATCTTGTAGGTATTTATGCTTCCACAGAACTAAAATGATTGGAATCTATTGCTAGTGGTGAAATAGAATTATTATACACCTTGGTACCTTATAACCCTCGGCTGAAGCCTCGAGATATGATATTGGTCCCTGGGTATAATACTGATATTCTTTACTACCTTCGTGTATAAATAACTATTACCAAATGTGGACAGTAGAGTTGCCTTAGGTTCTCAAAAACACAAAGCAGTGGCTGATCAAGTTCTACACAACTTGGACATTTATATCTATGACTAGGACTAGGAAGACGTAAACATCTCTTTTCAATACTTGTACGTTTTTTTATTGAATATCACTGTACTATTTACAAGAAAACATTGTTGCTAAGATATATGTATATGATTCATCGATCTGTACTGTATTATTATCGATAATTAACGAATTTACATATGAGTATTATGAGTATGAAAGCCATGTGGTCATATCATCTTGATAAATAGAAATGGAGTTTAAAACGGCAATTAAATCGTTAAGTTCAATGTCAAGTATAGAACATTTAACAGTTGAAGTTATCAATGAGAGGAAGGGAGCAACACTAGTACAATCTATATGGTATTATACCTACCTATACCATACCCATCCACCTATTTAATTCCCAGCACTATTCCTAGCAATAGATAATAATTTTCCA